TGTACACATTTTCCTTACGATTGTTTGCTTTCTTCTTTGCGAGCTTTCTCAGTAGCGGAAGATAACTCGGCTTCGGTTCCTCCTAAAGAGTCCAACCTCTCATAGTCGTATGTTCCGATTTCCCTTTGTCTTACAGTTTTTCTGTTGTCTCTCGAAGGAGTATGAGATGCGTTGTGATGCTTATAAGATGAGTTTTGTCTGTTTTGTGAAACCCTAAGTTGAGCTAACCGTCAATGTGTTGAGTCAGTAGAAACTCCTTGACATGACAAAGTAAACTGTGTCGAGTTTTTGGTGCCTTATGTGTTTTCCCTTCTTAGCTTCAGTTACCTCTGTTTGTTTCTTCTGCCTCTCCATGGAGTATGAGATGCGATGTGTGTTTTCAGTAGGAAGAAATTGGAATAAGATGAGTTTTGTCTGTTTTGTTAAACCCTTAATTGAGCTAATCTTCAATGTGTTTGGTCCGTTGACATGAGAAGTAAACTGTGTCTAGTTTTTGGTGTCAATGTGTTTGGTCTCTCTAGTCACTTAGAATCTTTGACACAGGCTCAGATGGAGACCGACCTAGTTGATGGATTTCTTTAATTTACTTTGAGGAACATGAAAACCAGAGCTTTAGCCATACATATAGTTTCAACTCCTTTGTCTACTTCACATGGTTTCTGTAATTTACAATGCTTCATTCGGTGTTGATATGATTATTTACAATACTTCCCTCTGAAATGTTTGTGTAATTTACAATACTTCACATGGTTTCTGCTTAGTTCGCTCTGAAATATTTGGGAATCAACTATTAATTTGTTGTGCACTCTTGGAACCACCAGATGGCAGGAAATGAATCCGATAACAACATTTGGTGGGACATCGAGAGTGCTGGGGTTCCCAAAGAATTAGATGCAGATTTGGTCTATGGTCTCATACAAGAACGACTTATTGAAGCAGGCTACACGGGGAACCTAAGAATCAGAGCCTTCACCGCAACCGAAGAATCCGTTCCTCAATGGGTAGCTGACATGCTTGACAACCGAATTCCGGTTGTCTATCTCGACGGTGGTATGTTCTAACTTGTTGTTTGAGTTTCATTATGGAATAATTATATGATACTAACAAAAAAATGTTTGTTGTCAAACAGCNGGAGACCAAGTGGCCGATAATGCTATCAAAGATGATATCGAGGAATGGTACGTTTGCACGAAATATGAACCACCATTTTTCTATGATGATCTCGTTAATTTTTGTAGATTTTGCATTCAAGATATTCATTTATTGTGATAATATATATTACAATCTTAAAAATTATGCAAATAACAGATTAGTTGCTCATACACAAACCATGCAATATTATCCAATTATTATTCATTTGTAGGTTTTGGAAGAAACTACAGAGCACTTCTAACTACACAAACCATGCAATATTCATTTGTAGGTTTTAGAAGAAACTACAGAGCACTTCTAACTATAGAATTCCTATAAAAAAAAAAATAAAGAACTCAATTCATAATATTACTTGTTCATACACAAACTATGAAATATTCTCCAATTATTATTGTAGTAATTTACACCTAACTTGAGAAAGTTGGTGTATATAAAAGACAAATTTAAATAGTTGATTTATTATTCGGGTCGCCCAAAAAGTTTGTTGTATTGTTTAAGCAACTTAAACTAAGTTCATGTATTTTTCAGAATTTTTTTCGTCAAAAAAATTCACACTGTTTATCGTCTTTTGTTAACGCCGTTAGAATCGAGGGTGTAAAACCTACAAAATTAGAAAGTCTGAGTATATAAACGACAATAATAAATATTTCAAGCTGAAGAGTTGTGACGATGCTTACATGATGAAATTGTTTAGAAATGACATAAGAACAAGTACTCTTATGCGTGAGAGCAGAATACATAGGGATTCTGGTGTGACCAAATGTACCATTTAATTAAATAATGAATAGGAAATAGATAGATGAAAAATGAGTTAACTTGGGTAAAAATGGTCACAAAGTTTGTGAACATTCAGATTGATCCCATATTGTATCATTTCATGTTTGTGGGCTAAACCCAATATATTTGAAAACCTTAGTGCAATGAAATGATGTAAATATGGAAAGGGATCAAATATTAAACACTAAAATCAAAATTGAACGAATGATGAACTCGAATCACTATGGTTCTGTTTTCTCAAGGATTAATATACGTTTAGATACTTGGAATTTCAAAAACTTGCTTATGTTAAAGTTAAACACTAATACTAAAACAATCACGTACTGATTATGTAGACACGCAATCATATTAGTATTAAGCTTTAGTTGTATAATAAGATTAATATTCAGAGTTTAAAAAGAAAATACGTAGTGAGCCGAGACTTCAAAATGCTTTACATCTTGACTAATTTCTTCAGTGTCGTGATGATGCTCAGTATGGCCACAATAAACTCACAAAAAGGTAGCCATTTTTTTGTGAAATCAAGCACCTTTCTCTCGACACAGTGATACACGCTCGGTGGTGGTAATGGCGGATCGGCTGATCCACTCGAACAACGAACAACCGGCGAGACCCTAAGACGACCGGGTGACATCGACATCGGAAGACGAATTGCAGACATCTGCAAGGTGAAATTGTAATTAAAAACAACTTTGGGCCCCAAATTGTA